CAGTAGCTGCAGCCAGCAGTAGCAGCAGCAGGTAGCGTTGATGGTTGAGTAGCTTACATCACAATCACGGGGACACAACTCTGGCCTGTTGCAGACATCAATTCGGGGCACGAGGCTTTCTCGCGAGGACGCTTCCTCTCACGGCCACACTCATCCGTTGGCCCGCAACACCTTCATACACAGAGGAGCGCAGAGCTTGGGCAATGGTTGCCGACGCCTGGCTGCCCTCCCGTCTGTCTGCGTGGTTTCCTCTCGAGTCGTTCCCCACTCGTCGCGAGTGAAGTGACTATACCGCCGACGTTATTGTTTTTGTTGTTTTTGTTGTTCGACCATACTTCACCACGCTGGTCAGTGCGGGTTGGTGAATGCGGGGGAGGACGGGGGGGGGGGGGGAGGACGGGGGGGGGCAGCATTGGCTTCAAAATTCAGTCGCCGCTGATGGGAATCGAACACAGCTGGTCGGGGTTTGTAGCACAGTGTGCTAACCACTGCGCCACCGCTCCCCTTCCTAAATACATGCGTTTATAAGACAGAGTGCCACTCTCTGTCTCTGGGCCTCGGGCAGGGGAATTTGCGCAGTAAGGCTATTAAGAGTGCTTTGGTCTGGCTAAATGAGATTTAATTGATTTGCAATTAAGCTTCATGTGCCTAGAGTTGGTAATCTGATTTAGCTAATGGATAGTTACTGAGCGAAGCTTGTGATGGAGAGATTCATTGTCATAGCAACGTTGAATTTACACAATTGCCTCAAGTTTTTTCTCATGTGGATGAGCATTCCACTAACCCGGCCACCAACTCAACCACGAACTCACTCATCGATCAACGCAACCACCAACTCAACCACTAATCCTGACCACAAACCAAAATATGACGGTGACTACCAACTCAACTACCAACCCAATCATCAACTCAACCATCAACTCAACCAACCGATACAACCACCAATCGATCCACCACCTCAACCACCGGATGAGCAGCAACATGGAGCAGACACGACGCACGTAACAACACGAACGAAACGGCAGAAACAGACAATGCAAATGAGTTAAACAATACAAACGAGACAGAACCAAACAGACAATGCAAATGAGTTAAACAATAGAAACGAGAGAGAACCAAACAGACAATGCCAATGAGTTAAAGAATAGAAACGAGACAGAACCAAACAGACAATGCAAATGAGTTAAACAATAGAAACAGGACAGAACCAAACAGACAATGCCAATGAGTTAAACAATACAAACGAGACAGAACCAAACAGACAATGCAAATGAGTTAAACAATACAAACGAGACAGAACCAAACAGACAATGCCAATGAGCTAAACAATACAAACGAGACAACCAAACAGACAATGCAGATGAGTTAAACAATACAAACGAGACAGAACCAAACAGACAATGCAAATGAGCTAAACAATACAAACGAGACAGAACCAAACAGACAATCCAGATGAGTTAAACAATACAAACGAGACAGAACCAAACAGACAATGCAGATGAGTTAAACAATACAAACGAGACAGAACCAAACAGACAATGCAAATGAGTTAAACAATACAAACGAGACAGAACGAAACAGACAATGCCAATGAGTTAAACAATACAAACGAGACAGAACCAAACAGACAATGCAAATGAGCTAAACAATACAAACGAAACAGAACCAAACAGACAATGCAAACGAGTTAAACAATACAAATGAGACAGAACCAAACAGACAATGCAAATGAGTTAAACAATACAAACGAGACAGAACGAAACAGACAATGCCAATGAGTTAACAATACAAACGAGACAGAACCAAACAGACAATGCAAATGAGCTAAACAATACAAACGAAACAGAACCAAACAGACAATGCAGATGAGTTAAACAATACAAACGAGACAGAACCAAACAGACAATGCAAATGAGTTAAACAATACAAACGAGACAGAACGAAACAGACAATGCCAATGAGTTAAACAATACAAACGAGACAGAACCAAACAGACAATGCAAATGAGCTAAACAATAGAAACGAGACAGAACCAAACAGACAATGCAAACGAGTTAAACAATACAAACGAGACAGAACCAAACAGACAATGCAAATGAGCTAAACAATACAAACGAAACAGAACCAAACAGACAATGCAAATGAGTTAAACAATACAAACGAGACAGAACCAAACAGACAATGCAAATTAGTTAAACAATACAAACGAGACAACCAAACAGACAATGCAAATGAGTTAAACAATAGAAACGAGACAGAACCAAACAGACAATGCAAATGAGCTAAACAATACAAACGAGACAGAACCAAACAGACAATGCAGATGAGTTAAACAATACAAACGAGACAGAACGAAACAGACAATGCCAATGAGTTAAACAATACAAACGAGACAGAACCAAACAGACAATGCAAATGAGCTAAACAATGCTAGGAGACGTAACCAAACAGACAATGCAAATTAGCTAAACAATAGAAACGAGACAGAACCAAACAGACAATGCAAACGAGTTAAACAATAGAAACAAGACAGAACCAAACAGACATTGCAAATGAGCTAAACAATAGAAACGAGACAGAACCAAACAGACAATGCAAACGAGTTAAACAATACAAACGAGACAGAACCAAACAGACAATGCAAATGAGCTAAACAATACAAACGAGACAGAACCAAACAGACAATGCAAATTAGTTAAACAATACAAACGAGACAACCAAACAGACAATGCAAATGAGTTAAACAATAGAAACGAGACAGAACCAAACAGACAATGCAAATGAGCTAAACAATACAAACGAGACAGAACCAAACAGACAATGCAGATGAGTTAAACAATACAAACGAGACAGAACCAAACAGACAATGCAGATGAGTTAAACAATACAAACGAGACAGAACCAAACAGACAATGCAGATGAGTTAAACAATACAAACGAGACAGAACCAAACAGAGAATGCAGATGAGATCAACAATACAAACGAGACAGAACCAAACAGACAATGCAGATGAGTTAAACAATACAAACGAGACAGAACCAAACAGACAATGCAGATGAGTTAAACAATACAAACGAGACAGAACCAAACAGACAATGCAGATGAGTTAAACAATACAAACGAGACAGAACCAAACAGAGAATGCAGATGAGATCAACAATACAAACGAGACAGAACCAAACAGACAATGCCAATGAGTTAAACAATACAAACGAGACAGAACCAAACTGACAATGCAAATGAGTTAAACAATACAAACGAGACAGAACCAAACAGACAATGCAAATGAGTTAAACAATACAAACGAGACAGAACCAAACAGACAATGCAAATGAGTTAAACAATACAAACGAGACAACCAAACAGACAATGCAAATGAGTTATACAATAGAAACGAGACGTAACCAAACAGACAATGCAGATGAGCTAAACAATACAAACGAAACAGAACCAAACAGACAATGCAAATGAGCTAAACAATACAAACGAAACAGAACCAAACAGACAATGCAGATGAGTTAAATAATACAAACGAGACAGAACCAAACAGACAATGCAAATGAGTTAAACAATAGAAACGAGACAGAACCAAACAGACAATGCAGATGAGTTAAAAATACAAACAAGACAGAACCAAACAGACAATGCAAATGTGGGTTAAACAATACGAATGAGACAGAACCAAACACACAATGCAAATGAGTTAAACAATACAAACGAGACAGAACCAAACAGACAATGCAGATGAATTAAACAATACAGACGAGACAGAACCAAACAGACAATGCAAATGAGTTAAACAATAGAAACGAGACAGAACCAAACAGACAATGTAAATGAGTTAAACAATACAAACGAGGCAGAACGAAACAGACAATGTAAATGAGTTAAACAATAGAAACGAGGCAGAACCAAACAGACAATGCAGATGAGTTAAACAATAGAAACGAGAGAGAACACACAAGGGACACGCACCACAACAGACGGCTGCCTACGCGACAGACGTAAACAACACAAACCACACAGCAGGACAAACGAGACGGACACCCGCGGGTCAGTCTCGCCGTTCGGAGAGACTGACAACAACAACAGCAACAACAACAAAGCAGTCACGAGCAACAATCGCGCTCCGAAAAGGTCGCGCGAACGAGAGAGAGAGCGGGAGAGACGCTACGAGCGGGATAATTACAACGACGACCTTTCCTTAATGACCTCAATAGCCGCCGCTAAGAGAGGGGAGAGAGCCCGGGGGAGGAGGGGGAGCGAGAGGTGGGGGGGGGGGGGGCTCTAAACGTCCTGATCCATCTTGCTCCACTGCCCACACTACCACCCCCCCCCCCTCCACCACTGACCCCCCCACCAACCCCCGAGTTTAATGACCGTGAAATGCATGTCCCAGCAAAATCTCGCGGTATATTGTCGCGTGATGTTGTCGGCGGGGGGTGAGTGATTAGCGGGGAGATAATGACCAAATTAGCCCCAACGCACCCCATCTCGTCGGATCCCTGAAGCAGCTAAGCAGGGTTGAGTGGCGGGGGAAGGGCGGAGAGCGGTGGCGCAGTGGTTAGCGCACTGCTCTGCGAACCGGGCGGATCTTGACTCACTCACGGCCAACGACGCTGACGATTATCTGAAACGACCCTGGGCCTCCCCTAGGTCGACTCGGCCTCAGATGCGGTGTGCAAAGATCGCCACTGGGGAGACAAAGGCGGCCGGGCGTGTCACTGGCAGCCACCCCCCTCCCCACCCCGTCGCGTGCCACAGTGCCGGCCTAAACAGGTGCTACTCGCTAACAACACTTGCCCCGAACAGTCTGTTAAGGCTACAGGGGTGATCTTTGTCTTTGTGTCTCCGTGTGCCTGCAAGTCAGAGCCAATCCCTCCCACCAAGCGCCCACGTCGTAGTAACAAAGGAAAGCAGAACCCCTGTTCGGTTTCGATGTCCCCGTGCCTCATAAGCAGCGCGTAGCCCGTTTGTGGAATGGGACCGATCCCCTTACCCTGCGTGGCCGCTTGAGGTGGTCCCCGTTGAGGGACATGCAGACCCCGTGGGGGGGGTCCCGGACATCGCCGCTCCACGCCTCCACGTCGCCGTCATCGGGGTGCCTTGCGCGCAGGGGACACACGGAGACACAGAGAGAGAGGGAGACACGGGGAGACAGAGAGAGGGAGACACGGGGAGACAGAGAGAGAGACGCGGGGACACAGAGAGAGGGACACACGGAGACACAGAGAGAGGGAGACACGGGGAGACAGAGAGAGAGGGAGACACGGGGAGACAGAGAGAGACGCGGGGACACACGGAGACACAGAGAGAGAGGGAGACACGGGGAGACACAGAGAGAGGGAGACACGGGGAGACAGACAGAGAGAGAGGGAGACACGGGGAGACAGACAGAGAGAGAGACGCGGGGACACACGGAGACACAGAGAGAGGGAGACACACGGGGAGACAGAGAGAGAGACGCGGGGACACAGAGAGAGGGACACACGGAGACACAGAGAGAGGGAGACACGGGGAGACAGAGAGAGAGGGAGACACGGGGAGACAGAGAGAGACGCGGGGACACACGGAGACACACGGAGACACAGAGAGAGAGGGAGACACGGGGAGACAGAGAGAGGGACGAGGGGTTATAAAGAGACAGCATGGAGACAGAGGAAGCACCACAGGGACACGTCGTGGTGGAGTCGGCTGATGCACACCGCTGACATAGCCACGGGACCACCCCCCGGCCTCACCTGCCGCTCGAGTCCCCGCGCCCGGGCCGCTCGGCCGGGGGCGGCGTAGCAGGCGGGGAGCCGACGCGGGGCGCTGAGAAGGACGACGGCGGCTGTGGCTGCTGCTGCGGCTGCTGCGGCGGCGGCTGCGGCGGCGGCGAGCGCGGCGGCGGGGCCGGCAGCCCCATGCGGTGGCGCTTGGCGCTGATGCGCGCCGCGCGGTAGATGCGGTAGTACATGACGAGCATGACGGCGGTGGGGAGGTAGAATGCAACGGCGGTGGAGTAGAAGGTGTAGCCCAGGTCCTGGCTGATGAGGCACACGCGCTCGCCCCGTACGTTCTGCGCCCAGCCGAAGAGCGGCGGCAGGGTGATGGAGGCGGAGAGGAGCCACACGCCCAGCACCATCTTAGCCATGAGCCGCCCGTCCTGCCGGACCGGGTAGGTGAGCGGCCGCGTGATCCCTAGGTACCTGGGGTGCGGGTCACGGACGCAAGGCGCGCGTGGATGCGACGGCGAGACACGGGCAGAGGTCTCACGCTGGGACCAGCAGCCTGGGGTAGGGGGTTCTCAGCGCTGCTCGCGGACACCGAGCGGGTGGTCATGGGTCAACACCACACCCGGTCGCCTTTTAAGGCTGAGTCGACCCAGGGGAAGCCCGGGGGCTAACGTCGCTGATGTTGGCCGTGAGAGGGACTCGGCTGGCCGGGTTCGTAGCGCAGCGCGCTAATCATTGCGCCACCGCTCTCCCGGGTCGCGCGCGTGTGTGTGCACAAACGCAGACACCAGCACGCACACACAGGCTACTCACGCACACACAGGTACCCACGCACACACAGGTACCAACGCACACACAGGCTACTCACGCACACACAGGTACCCACGCACACACAGGTACCCACGCACACACAGGTACCCACGCACACACAGGCTACTCACGCACACACAGGTACCCACGCACACACAGGTACCCACGCACACACAGGCTACTCACGCACACACAGGTACCCACGCACACACAGGTACCCACGCACACACAGGTACCCACGCACACACAGGCTACTCACGCACACACAGGTACCCACGCACACACAGGTACCCACGCACACACAGGTACCCACGCACACACAGGCTACTCACGCACACACGGGTACCCACGCACACACAGGTACCCGCGCACACACAGGTACCCACGTACACACAGGTACCCACGCACACACAGGTACCCACGCACACACAGGCTACTCACGCGCACACAGGAACCCACGCACACACAGGTACCCACGCACACACAGGTACCCACGCACACACAGGTTCCACACACAGGTACCCACGCACACACAGGTTCCCACGCACACAGGTACCCACGCACACACAGGTTCCCACGCACACACAGGTTCCCACGCACACACAGGTACCCACGCACACACAGGTTCCCACGCACACACAGGTACCCAAGCACACACAGGTTCCACACACAGGTACCCACGCACACACAGGTTCCCACGCACACACAGGTACCCACGCACACACAGGTACCCACGCACACACAGGTTCCCACGCACACACAGGTACCCACGCACACACAGGTTCCCACGCACACACAGGTACCCACGCACACACAAGAACCCACGCACACACAGGCTACTCACGCACACACAGGTACCCACGCACACACAGGTTCCCACGCACACAGGTACCCACGCACACACAGGTTCCCACGCACACACAGGTTCCCACGCACGCACAGGTACCCACGCACACACAGGTTCCCACGCACACACAGGTACCCAAGCACACACAGGTTCCACACACAGGTACCCACGCACACACAGGTTCCCACGCACACACAGGTACCCACGCACACACAGGTACCCACGCACACACAGGTTCCCACGCACACACAGGTACCCACGCACACACAAGAACCCACGCACACACAGGCTACTCACGCACACACAGGTACCCACGCACACACAGGTTCCCATGCACACACAGATACCCACGTACACACAAGTACCCACGCACACACAAGTACCCACGCACACACAGGTACCCACGCACACACAGGCTACTCACGCACACACAGGTTCCACACACAGGTACCCACGCACACACAGGTTCCCACGCACACACAGGTACCCACGCACACACAGGTACCCACGCACAGGTTCCCACGCACACACAGGTACCCACGCACACACAGGTACCCACGCACACACAGGTACCCACGCACACACAGGTTCCCACGCACACACAGGTACCCACGCACACACAGGTACCCACGCACACACAGGTACGCACACACAGGTACCCACGCACACACAGGTACCCACGCACAGGTTTCCACGCACACACAGGTACCCACGCACACACAGGTACCCACGCACACACAGGTTCCACACACAGGTACCCACGCACACACAGGTACCCACGCACACACAGGTACCCACGCACACACAGGTTCCACACACAGGTACCCACGTACACACAGGTTCCCACGCACACACAGGTACCCACGCACACACAGGTACTCACGCACACACAGGTACCCACGCACACACAGGTACCCACGCACACACAGGTTCCCACGCACACACAGGTACCCACGCACACACAGGTACGCACACACAGGTACCCACGCACACACAGGTACCCACGCACAGGTTCCCACGCACACACAGGTACCCACGCACACACAGGTACCCACGCACACACAGGTACCCACGCACACACAGGTACCCACACACAGGTTCCACACACAGGTACCCACGCACACACAGGTACCCACGCACACACAGGTACCCACGCACACACAGGTACCCACGCACACACAGGTTCCACACACAGGTACCCACGTACACACAGGTTCCCACGCACACACAGGTACCCACGCACACACAGGTACTCACGCACACACAGGTACCCACGCACACACAGGTACCCACGCACACGCCATCCACGTTCGTGCGATCCCCGCTCCGCACTGCAGTTCACAGCTGTCGTCGCCCAGGGGAGACAGTGACGTCATCTGCTGCGATGTTTGGTGTTTTAATGTCGTAGTCGTCATCATTGTTGTTGTTGTGATTTATAAAAATATAAGTTCGACCAAAACGAGACGATGTCGACACTGGTGGTGGTGATGGTCGTGTTGGTGATGGTGGTGTTGGTGGTGATGGTGGTAATGGTGGTGTTGGTGGTGTTGGTGGTGTTGGTGGTGATGGTGGTGATGGTCGTGTTGGTGATGGTGGTGTTGGTGGTGATGGTGGTGATGGTCGTGTTGGTGTTGGTGGTGTTGGTGGTGATGGTGGTGATGGTCGTGTTGGTGATGGTGGTGTTGGTGGTGATGGTGGTGATGGTCGTGTTGGTGATGGTGATGTTGGTGATGATGGTGGTGATGGTCGTGTTGGTGATGGTGGTGTTGGTGGTGATGGTGGTGATGGTCGTGTTGGTGATGGTCGTGATGGTGGTGATGGTGGTGATGGTCGTGTTGGTGATGTTGGTGGTGATGGTGGTGATGGTCGTGTTGGTGTTGGTGGTGTTGGTGGTGATGGTGGTGATGGTCGTGTTGGTGATGGTCGTGATGGTGATGGTGGTGATGGTCGTGTTGGTGATGGTCGTGATGGTGGTGATGGTGGTGGTGATAGTGACCATGGCGCTGTTGCTGCTGCCCCTTGAGTGTAAACTCGTCCACGGTCCCATTAAAATGTTCTCCGCCAACGTCCCATCCGCCCATCAGCACTGGCTGTGGTGACACCCCAGCCGGCGCTCTCCCATGCGAGTGACCCCTGACCCACACAGAAGAAAGGGGGCAGCACCCCCCGCCCCCATTCCAGTGCCGGATTATCCTCGTAGCAAAAGTAGCTACATATGTAGTAGCTATGTAGTACATATGTAGTAGCTATGTAGTACATATGTAGTAGCTATGTAGTAGCTATGTAGTAGCTATGTAGTACATATGTAGTAGCTATGTAGTACATATGTAGTAGCTATGTAGTAGTTATGTAGTAGCTATGTAGTACATATGTAGTAGCTACATGTGTAGTAGTTATGTAGTACATATGTAGTAGTTATGTAGTACATATGTAGTAGCTATGTAGCAGTTATGTAGTACATATGTAGTAGCTATGTGGTAGTTATGTAGTACATATGTAGTAGCTACATGTGTAGTAGCTATGTGGTAGTTATGTAGTACATATGTAGTAGCTACATGTGTAGTAGCAATGTAGTAGTTATGTAGTACATATGTAGTAGTTATGTAGTACATATGTAGTAGTTATGTAGTACATATGTAGTACATATGTAGTAGCTATGTAGTACATATGTAGTAGCTATGTAGTAGTTATGTAGTACATATGTCGTAGTTATGTAGTACATATGTAGTACATATGTAGTAGCTATGTAGTCCATATGTAGTAGCTATGTAGTACATATGTAGTACATATGTAGTTGCAATGTAGTACATATGTAGTAGCTACATATGTAGTAGCTATGTAGTACATATGTAGTACATATATAGTAGCTATGTAGTACATATGTAGTAGCTACACGTGTAGTAGCAATGTAGTAGATATGTAGTAGCTACATATGTAGTAGCTATGTAGTACATATGTAGTACATATATAGTAGCTATGTAGTACATATGTAGTAGCTACGGGCCCCGCACTTTCAAGGGCCCCGCGCTAAACGCTTTCAAGCTGTCAATTCCAGTTCGTTGATTCTGCACTTGCTCTATTACTATAGTACTATACCGCCTTCAACTTTTATGAACGACTGGGCGTTTAAGGTTAGCGATTTGTCGTGTTATCTGGCTGTATAGCAAATAAAAAAATACAATTACTTTACTATGCAGGTAAAAACATTTGTGTTTTAATATTTATTTTTTCATTTAGGGCCCCTTTATAACATTGCTTCAGGCTCCGCACTCGCACTGCCCCCTCCTCCCCTCCCTCGCCCCCCCCCCTTCATCACCCACCCACTCACCTCTCGCTCCCCCTTTCATCACCACCCACTCACCTCTCGCCCCCCCCCCTTCATCACCACCCACTCACCTCTCGCCCCCCCCCCCTCCTCACCCACCCACTCACCTCTCGCCCCCCCCCTTCATCCCCCACCCACTCACCTCTCCCTCCCCCCTTCATCCCCCACTCACTCACCTCTCGCCCCCCCCTTCACCCCCCACCCACTCACCCACCTGTCCACGCTGATGACGCACAGCGTGAGGATGGACGCCGTGCAGCACGTGACGTCGAGCGCGATGAACACGTTGCAGAAGGCGCGGCCGAACATCCACTCGCCGCCCACGAGGTCGGTGACGAGGACGAAGGGCATCACGGCGAAGGCCACGGAGAGGTCGGCGGCCGCCAGCGAGACGAGCAGGTAGTTGGAGGGCTGCCGCAGCTTCTTGACGGCGCACACCGAGAGGATGACGAGGAGGTTGCCCGCGATGGTGAGCGCAGTGATCGTGGCGAGCACGAGGCCGATGAGGACGCGCGCGGCCAGGCCGTACAGCAGCACCTGGTCGGGGCAAGCGGGGCCCCGGCCGGCCTCGGACGTCGCGTTGGCCGGGTCGGCCGCCGGGTAGCCGCCGGGGTTGGAGGGACGCGACGGGATGAGGGAGGCAGCGACGGAGGAGGAGGAGGCGGCTGCGGCGGTGAAACTCGAGTTCAATTCCAGCACCATGGCGCTGCGGATAGCGGGAGTGAGAAGTTGGACCGGGATGTGGTGGGGGGACGGGGGGTGAAACGTCGGACGTGGTGCCGAGGCGTACACGCGGCACAACCGCGAACAGCGGTGTGGGAGGGACGTGGAGGTTAATGCCCCGTACTGTTTCTCTCTCTTAACCACAGGGCGTCGCGTGATGTCCCTTAACAGTCGACGTGGTGGAGTCTTTAACTCTGCGTGCGCGTCCTCTCATCGAATCCACGCGCTCCTCTTTCTGTCTCGCAGCGTCATTCCAAGCATGCATCTCGCGCTCCCTCCTCTCTCTCTCGCTCTCTCTGCACGGTTCTTTTTCTGCAGCTGTCAGCGTTTTGTTCCACGCCTTCCTCAATGTGCGTGCCTCTGACCACGCCACAGCAGGGACTGTGCACTCGTCACCGACAGAGGTCAGAGACGATGAGCCGGTGACGCTGAGATGCTGATTTCGAATTCGGGATTCAATCGCCTGTGGCTAAATTTGGGGTCTCAAGTGTGGTGAGCTACCTGATGGGTCTCAACCCGCCCTGCATACAAAAAAAAACATCCCATCGAATATGGCTTTTACTGTCATGCTCTCGTTTCGCAGGGCGGGTGGGAAAGTGCTGCCGCTTCGACTGTCCGTGGGTGGATCAGAGGCCACGCAGGAACGGGTTCTCATGGGTGGCTCAGTGATAGCCACTTCCGTGGGGCGGAGAGTTACCCCGCTCCACTGGAGAGTTCTCCAATGGACTCCTCTCGTGTGATGACGACGCTATGTTGGAAACACAATCAGAATAAAATTGAAAAATGTAAAAAAATCGAAAATAAATTATAAAAACCCGAAGTACCCGTAAGAAAACATTAACGCTCCACGCAGGCACGCAGAGTGCAACACAACAACCCGACAACCCATTTGCTGCACGACCCCTCTGAGAGGCACACCCACGGCAGGCCGCAATCTCACACCGTGCCGGAATCTCTGCGTGATCCACCAACCCCGCCGCCGTCTCGCCTGATCACAGGCGCACGCGTGCACCGTCACATTACATCGTGTATCACCCCACACCTCCATCCCCCACCTCGTCCCTCACCATCACGGGTTTGTTGACACGCATCTCTGCAGAACGCGGATTATGAATCCACACAGGAGACATCTCTCTCTCTCTCGCTCCCCCTCTCTCTCCCTCTCTGTTTCGCTCTCTCTTTTTTACGATCAGAGGAAACAAGAAGGTGCTCGGTGTAGTCGGCACTTTGCTTCGTTCATCATTTCGTTGTTTTAGTTTTTTCAATGCTTTGCTTCATGTGCCCCCCCCCCCCGTTTAAATAAAATATTTCACGAAAGATTTCACGCTCTGCTCTCCTTACCCCTTCCCTCTCTCTACCCCCTCTCTCTACCCCCTCTCTCTCTCTCTACCCCCTCTCTCTACCCCCTCTCTCTCTCTACCCCCCCTCTCTCTCTACCCCCTCTCTCTACCCTTTCTCTCTACCCCCTCTCTCTACCCCCTCTCTCTACCCCCTCTCTCTACCCCCTCTCTCTACCCCCTCTCTCCCGACTCTATGTCTATGTTCCCCCTGTTTTTTGTCATTTTATTTGACGACACGTGCTGCATCTGCACCCAGCCCTCCTCGCAGTCCTACGGCCTCCGACGGTAGCTCAGATCATTCGCTCTCTCCCTTGCTCCCTCTCTCTCTTGCTCCCTCTCTCTTGCTCCCTCTTGCTCCCTCTTGCTCCCTCTTGCTCCCTCTCCCTTGCTCCCTCTCTCTCTCGCTCCCTCTCTCTTGTTCCCTCTTGCTCCCTCTCTCTTGCTCCCTTTCTCTTGCTCCCTCTCTCTCCCTCTCTCTTGCTCTCTCTTGCTCCCTCTCGCTCCCTCTCTCCCTCCCTCTCCCTCTCTCTCGCTCCCTCTCGCTCTCTCTCTATCTCTCTCTTGCTCCCTCTTGCTCTCTCTTGCTCCCTCCCTCTTGCTCCCTCGCTCCCTCTCGCTCTCTTGCTCCCTCCCTCTTGCTCCCTCTTGCTCCCTCTCTCTTGCTCCCTCGCTCCCTCTCGCTCCCTCTCTCCCTCCCTCTCGCTCTCTCTCTCTCCACGTGAAGTGCGCACAATGAGATGCGCTCGCTATTAATAACGACGACGACGGCGGCGGCGGCGGAACACGTGGGCGCACGACGACGTCGTCTGCGCGTACTTTGCAGCCGGTCTTGTGCTCGCCCCTTTTCCATCCCCCGGGGGTCTGCGCCACGCTGCGCGGATGTCACGTCGGGGATTAGCAACGCGAATAAGGAGGATCATGTAACAAAGAATAAGTTATAAATATGGAAAGAAAAATCCACGTTCAAAGAGGCGGAATGGAGGATGTGCACCCTTGGAATGATTTTGAGACAGAGAGAGAGAGGGGGACACGTGGATTATAGAATATACACTCGGATAGAGATATCACCTTGCTCTTCATGCAGCAGTGGATGCACGCTTGGGACTCACACCGAGAGACAGACACAGAGAGAGAGAGAGAAAGAGGAGCACGTGGATTCGAGAATGTACGCAGGGTTAAATAATTGTATTCCGATCGTGGGCTTGAGCAGGACGCGTCACCGCCAGACGAGATGTCGTCCGCTGGTCAAGGAATAAAAATAACGGGGCAGCCAGCAAGCGATGGAACTCGTTCCAAGACGCCCTCCACCGAGGAGACGGAGCGGTCAAAATCGCCTCGCGTGCAGTGCAAGGTGCTGGCGTGGGTTGTTAGATCCTAGGATCGCGAGGGATGGCAAGCGGCTTGTTGAGGCCTTCATCCAGCAGTGAATAGACCATGGCTGATGATGAAGCAGATGATGATAACGCCGATCGGGGACCGCACTGAAGCCGTCACCTATCGAGAACCCCGGGGTCACCACCCTGGCGCAGATGACGAGACGCGGACTCAAACCCAGGTTGTGTCTGTCAGCGGCTGCTGGCTCGCAATCTGCGACACGGCCATCGTGAACAGTGACCCTCCCCCCTCCCCCCGCTCCCCACCAGTGTACCTGGAGGCCTCTTTAGCTTATGGAGTTTTGATGAACGACGTCCACCACTCTGGGAGCATAGAGAGTTTAAATAGAGTGTCGAGTCACGAGTAATGTTGTCTCTGCTAGCTTAGACACTCGAATCGATTTCCTGACCACGGGGAAAATTAAAAAAAACTTGCTGATGTGGGGGGGGGGGGGGGGGGGGGGGGTGGAGTTCAGCCCCCACTCCTTCCCCCTTATCGTACACCACCACTAACCTAATGACATCATCATTAATTAACGCTGGGCAATAATTATCCGTGCTGACGTCAACACAGGCAATATTTGCCTTCGTTATTTAGATGTTTAAGTGATGGCAATGAACGAGCTCCCGGCGCGCGCGGTTCTCGCCACGCGTGCACTTCGTGCCACGCGCCATGGGAGAGGCAGCGACTTCTGATCCGGGCCAGAAGCTCCCGCAAGCGCCGGACAATCATCGCTGCTGCTGCTGCTGGTTCACACAGCACAAAGTGGGCCCCAGTTGGACTCCTGCTGCTGCTGCTGCTGCTTCACACAGCACAAAGTGGGCCCAAGTTGGACTCCTGCTGCTGCTGCTGCTGTTGCTTCACACAGCACAAAGTGGGCCCAAGTTGGACTCCTGCTGCTGCTGCTGCTGCAGTCTGTATTTGAGGATAAGGCTCCGAGTTTCCTCCTCGCCGCTGCATCGGGGATATCATTCCGAGTGAAGCAGCAGTCCGGGGTTGATTGATGACCCAGCACTCCGCTGATTCGCTCCACTCACTCGCTCATTCACTCAACGGCGGTCAGTCGCCTTCTTATCACTGCCTTATCGCTACGACTGCTACCACCGTGCTTCCTGTGGCTGGGAATTTCACTCGTTGATTCGTTCACCAGTGTTGAGAACTCGCACTGACTGTGCCGTCTCATCCACCAGACTGTGTCCAACCGCCGCACTGCGGGGCACAACAACACTCACCCACTCACTCACCCACCCACTCACTCAACCACTCACCCACTCATTCACCCACTCACTCACCTACTCACTCACCTATTCAACCACTCACCCACTCACTCACTCAACCACTCACCCACTCATTCACCCACTCACTCACTCAACCACCCACTCACTCACCTACTCACTCACCCACTCACTCAACCACTCACCCACTTATTCACTCACCTACTCACTCACTCACCCACCCACTCACTCAACCACTCACCCACTCACTCACGCACTCACTCCACCACTCACCCACTCACCCACTCACTCACTCACTCACCTACTCACTCACCTACTCAACCACTCACCCACTCACCCACTCACTCACTCAACCACCTACTCACTCAAACACTCACCCACTCACTCACCCACTCACTCACCTACTCACTCACTCACCCACTAACTCAACCACTCACCTACTCACTCACGCACTCACCCACCCACTCACTCAACCACTCACCCACTCACCCACCCACTCACCTACTCACTCACCTACTCACTCAACCACTCACCCACTCACTCACCCACTCAACCACCTACTCACTCAACCACTCACCCACTCACTCACCCACTCACTCACCTACTCACTCACCTACTCAACCACTCACCCACTCACTCAACCACCTACTCACTCAACCACTCACCCACTCACTCACCCACTCACTCACCTCCTCACTCACTCACCCACTCACTCAACTACTCACCTACTCACTCACTCACCCACCCACTCACTCAACCACTCACTCACTCACCCACCCACTCACCTACTCACTCACCTACTCACTCAACCACTCACCCACTCACGCAACCACCCAGTCACTCAACCACTCACCCACTTACCCACTCACTCACCTACTCACTCACCCACTCACCCACTCACTCACCCACTCACCCACTCATTCACTCACCTACTCACTCACTCACCCACTTACTCACTCAATCACTCACCTACTCACTCACCCACTCACTCAAACACTCACCCACTCACTCACCCACTCACTCACCCACTCACC